ACTGAGCCACCCAGGTGCCCTGCGACTCTATTTCTGTATCACGTTTCCACCCTGTCCCTTGCAAACATAAACAAAAACTTGCAGGGAATCAAGCGGAGGATCAAAAGTCCGCCATTCAGCAGGAAGCTGTTTGTCTTGGGCAGGTGGGCCGCTAGGGGCCCTGGTGGTCCACCACAGCGACCCGGGCAAAAACCCCTGCCTTCAGTGGCTATGGGACAGGGCCCAGTCCAGAAGAACAGAGTCAGAAAATTCAAGTATGCAATAGCTTTGAAAACTAATGCTCAGATTTTCTCTCCACGAGGGTGTCAAAACTGGTTGTGAAGATCATTACTTTAGTTAGTGACAGACTTCTGTAGGCGCCTACGACTAGTATCAGAGAAAGGAAATGACATCAGTGACATTCATCTGGCAAATGTTCGCTGCCTGGTTTCGGTCTGACCAGTTTGTTCTCTAGCTAGAAGAGCTGAGAACCCTGCGCTCTCCATTTCAGGAATTTCCATTATCAATCCCTGGGAAAATGGCATCAGCAATGCTGCCAACACAATTCAAGCCACAGTCTTGCTTAAATGAGCGCTGTGTTTTAAATGACGGAAGAAAGATTTCTTGCTTATCAACTTACTGCACGTCGAGGAATCCACTTCCGAAATGTCATCTAATTGTGAGGTCCGAGGCGCACCGCTTGAGGCGACCTGTCCGTTTGGGTAGCTGGGCACTGCTGTTACAGAAGCGAGGAGATAGATACAGACGGTGTTTGGGAGTGAGTGGAAGCCATTGTGAATTCCAAACAGTCCCTAAGAAATGCCAACTGCCACAGATGAAAAGCCCCCACTTCTGTTCTGAGAGCTGAAGTTTTGGTGACATGTTTTAAAAACACCTTTAGCCAAGACAAAAAGCCAACCAACCAACCACTCAAAAATAGAGATGTTAGGAGAGAGATCCCAAATATTTCTTGGACAAGATTATGAAATGTGATGAGCAAGCCTTCCCTGAGAACTCCCCAGAGCCCACCCTTGGCAGCTTCCACCGGGTGGGGCCTAATCGCGGCAACAGAGAGCATGTGATAACCAGCGAGAGGCAGGCTTCCAGAACAGCGAGCGGAGCAGGGTTCCGGCACCAACCTGGTGCCTCCCCCCGTTTCTTGGTCAATTACTCACCTCAAAAGTTATACTGGCCCCTCGGCCGTGTTTTCACTGTTCCCCAACTCTTACACTTTTTCAATAAGACACCAAGGTCTTTTTTTTTTTTTTAATTTTTCAGGCAAGTGTCATGACTGTCCCTTTCTACTCCCATCACTAGGGTCCAAGCTGCTAAGAACCAGGCCCAGACTGTCTCAGTTACACTGACTCATTAAGATGCCTGCCTTTTACCTGGTCTCAAGGGCTGTAGCTAATGGTTTTAACTCACAGTTTTAGCTCAATGAGTCATTAAGACTATTTGGGGCTGATTACCAAATGACTCACTTGAACTGGCGTGGGGGAAATGGGATGTGAGAGTCATCCTCAAATATGTGAAGGGCTGTCATGTGGCAGAGGCAGTAGATATAATCCGCATTTGCGCCTAAGAACTGTTTCCAATGAGGGAATTTACCAAAAAAAAAAAGGCATATTCAATTTTACACAAGGAGACATAGCTTGTAAATAAAATACTGGCAGAAATGGAATTGGGTAGTGAGCTCGCCAGCTCCATGATATTCTGGCATAAGCTGGATACCCACCATTCACTACTGCACCAATGATTTGCACAGATCCTGGTTCCTCCAGATCCTTTCATATCTGAGACCTCTCTGGCCCTTGTCTCTCCTCTGTCCTCCAAGAGCCATACTGGCCCGGGGTGTTTCCTTCCTCTTCCTGAAGGGCCGTGGTGTAAACATCACCTCTGTCCCGGCACTGAATGGTCCCCTCTGCCGACAGCCGTGCTTCAAACATTGGCTAAGCAGACTCACCTATGAACTTTTAAAACAAAAATCCAGCTTCCTAGCTTCTATCCTAGATCTACCAAATTAAATCACTGTTGGTGAGGTCCTTAAGAGGGTTGTTTTTTTTTTTTAAGATTTTATTTATTTATTTGACAGAGAGAGAGACAGCGAGAGAGGGAACACAAGCAGGGGGAGTGGGAGAGAGAGAAGCAGGCTCTCCGCTGAGCAGGGAACCTAATGCGGGGCTCGATCCCAGGACCCCGGGACCATGACCTGAGCTGAAGGCAGACGCTTAACGACTGAGCCACCCAGGCGCCCCGGTTTGTTTTTTTTTAAATCTGCAATTTACAAAAAAATACTAAATGCTAACGGTAACACATAAAGAATAAAGCAAAAACTCCACCTTATGGTTAGGGTTAGGGCCAAGAGGAATGGCAGGCCCAATCTGCTGGCACTGTGGTGAACTTCCCAGGAGTTTGATTTGAGAGCGTGGGTCAAGGGAGTGTCAGGCTCATGGTTTGCGCCCAAGGGGCTGGCAGAAAGTGGGGGTTCGCTGGAATGGGCATGCAAACTTCTACTGCACTATATGGTTTCTGGAGTTCCAAATGGCTTGGTTTCCTTCTGGGTGGCAGGCTGAGTCCTCTGGTATTGCTCAGGTGTCCACAATCCCTGGGGCTTTGGAGCCAGGCCTCTGGGGACAGACTCCTCAGAAGCCATGCTAGGGTTAGGGGTAAGACCTAGGGGCATGGCAGTCCTGATCTCCCGGCGCTGTGGCGAGCTTCCCAGCGTTCTGTGTTAAGGGCGTGCGGCATGCAAGTTCCCGCACAGGTTTTTGTACAGACTCGTTTCCGAATCTCCTGGGTACATACCTATGAGCGCAACTGCTGGGTCATACAGTCACTTTATGTTTGACCTTCTGAGAATCCTCCAGACTATTTCCCAAAGCGCCTGCCATTTCACACAAGCTCCAGCACCGTCCCCATTTCTCTCTGACCCTCGTCAACAGTCTCTGTGTTTGATTATAGTCACGCTAGTGGGTGTGAAATCGTATCTCATTCTGTTCTTGTATTTTTACTTTTCACATGTGGTTTTGGTTTGTATTGCCCTAGTGACTGATGGGAGTTAAACGTCTTTTCTTGGTGTGTACTGTGGCCATTTGTATCTTCTTTGGAGAACTGTATATTCAAATCCTTTGCCCATTTAAAACTCTGCACTAATATTTTATAGGACATGGCTATTCAGCTACAATTTAAGTTTATGGACCACGGATTTCAGGGGCAGCAAGGGCCATTCACATTGTCCAGAAGGTCCTGTTTTCTAGAAAATAATAAGAATTTCCTCCTCACTGCTAATAAAGATTTGACACTAAGCAAAAATTTTATTTTTTTGAAGACTTATTTATTTGAGAGAGAGAGAGAGCATGAGTGTGGGGAGGGCAGAGGGAGAGGGAGAATCTCAAGCAGACTCCACGCTGAGCGCAGAGCCCAACGCAGAGCTGGATCCCAGGACCCTGAGATCATGACCTGAGCCGAAATCAAGAGTCAGACGCTTAACCGACAGAGCCACCCAGGTGCCCCCCACCCATTTAAAAAATTTTAAATAAATGAGCCGTCATTGGCAAGCTCTTCTCTGTTTCCTACTTCCTGGTGCCTCCATTCTGGGCCCTGAGTGACAAACAAATGCCAAGCGCCTCCAATCAAAATGCCATTTTCCTAATTACAGCTGATGATCTCCTAGTGTTAAGAGCAAGTGACTCTGATTTCATTTACACACCCTGATTAAGAAAGTGACAAATCCTTACACGTTTGCCTTTTGAAAAATGGATGATTATATTAACCAAATTATCTCTCGTTGGTGAAATTTAGGAAAGTTAAAAAAATTGAAGTAGCTCGGTGGGACGACCCCACGGAGGCAGAGGGGCCAGTGTGCGGGAAGATGACTGATGACCGATGGGGAAGCTTCTGCAGTTTCTTCCTTTTTTCTATTTCTAAATCCACAGGTTCTCTAACAGCCTCAAGCATCGTTTCTTTCTAGAGGAGGGGTAAGTGCGAGAGGGTTAGGGACAGGTAGCAGCTCCACAGCTTACTCTCTCTTGTAAGCCAGCTGTAAATATTTGCTTTGTGCAAAGAGTGACATTCCCCTCCCTCCTGCCCCAGGGGCGGGGGGGGGGAATCTGGGACCTGAGTCTAAAGCACGAGAGCTACTGAAGAGTTTCAAAAGTAGGCATAATTAATGCAGATGCTTCTAACCTACATTTCTACTTTTCAAATGTGTGAATTACAGAAGTTACACCCACAGCGACATTATTCATAGAAGCCAAGAAGTGGACACAACCTCAATGCTCATCAACTGATGATGAATGAATAAATATAATGTGGAATACCTCCGCAACGGAATACTGGCAATAAAAAGGATGACATACTGATGCATGCTACAGCGTGGATGAACCTCAAAACATCATGCAAAGTGAAAGAAGTCAGACACAAAAGATCATAGAGTGTGTGATTCCATTTATATGAAGTTTCCTGAATAGACAAATCTACAGACACAGGAAGTTGATCTGTGGTGGCCAGGGGCTGGGAGGGAGTGAGGGGAAATGGGGAGTGACTGCAAATGGATACAAGGTTTATCATGGGGCACTAAAACCGTTCTAGAATTGATTACAGTGATGGTTGCACAACTCTGTGAATATATATATATATTTTTTACATATGGCAATACCATAAAATTGTATACTTTAAATAGGTAAATCATATGGTATGTGAATTATTTATCAGTTAGACTGTTACTAAAAAAAGGTAATCCATATTTATTAAAAAAGACTAGAACAATACAAAATGTAGTAAAATAAAAGTTCATCGTAACTGCACTTGATTTTAGAATTCTAAGTAATTTAGGTTTTCAGTTGATGCCACTCTAAGTCTGGCACCAAAACCCAAGGGTTATAGTAAGTTTCCTTGTGCTACTTTACTATACTATTGTTTTGAGGACCAGCTATTGGCAAAGCACACATTTTTATCAAAATAAACTAGAAGCACTTTGGGAACAAATCATATTCTGATAGATTAAGAAGATAACAAGGACCATGGAACCATGGAATAAAACAGAACTGTACAGGATAGTTGAGAGCTTTCTTGATCAATCAGAGCTTTTTTTTTTTATTTTAAACAAAACAAAACAACCCCCCCCCTGCAAAAAAAAGTCCCAGCAACCAAAAAAAGGGTGACTAGTGATCACCTTTTAGCTGAGCACTAATTTGAATAAAGTATACCTCAGGGATTTATTCATGATAGCAGAGCACATGAAGTGCATAAGTCTGTAATATCATGAAGAGAAAGGCACTCATGGATACTCACCTTTACTATACAGATGTTCAGCATGTTCTAAAGCATCATTTATCTCTTTCTCTAGAAACCACTTTCTAGATGCATCTGCGAGAGCCGAAGCTTTCTTTTCTGATTTCAAATGAAAGTCTTTTTCTTTAGCTTCCTCCCACTATATGCAAATAAATGAAAGAAAAGAAAAATCACCTAAAAGTTGGGGTAATGTCGCTTCCGACAGTGGAGTAAGTCCCTTTTGTTTCCTTTACTCCACTTCCTTCGGGGTTCCCATGGCATGCAGGATCTGTTCGGTTTTCAGGTAATCTGAGTGCCTGTCTTTGACCTTGAGGGCAGAGGCACTTCTCACGTACCACTCAGTACGTCAGGGGGCCACACAGCACACAGATGGGTGCCCACTGTCTTTGAAACAACAAGTCATTTCAATACATGTCGAATCTTGTGGGATTAAGCTAGTTTTTTAAATTCATGACAATGGTCTTATTTAATCTGAACGCTATCCCTTAATAAAATTTGCCCAGCTCCGGTACACATGCTGACCAACCTCAGGGAAGTCAAGGAATTTCTATGAACCCCAACTTCCTTTTTCATAAAGTGAGAAAATGATGATCTTCAAATTAGCTCAAGGGTGACGAAAATAATGCAGTTAAGATATCCTACAACTCCCAGAGTTCGTCAGTGTTCTATGCCACAGCTCCTATATACAAACACACACACAGTCTTTATGTCATAGAAACGCGAATGCATGAAATAACACAACTTCAAAGAATCATCAGGGCCAGGAGGGACCACAGAAATCCAATCGTTTCCTGTTACTGAGGAGGAGAGAGAGTCTAAGTGATTTTAAGGCCACATGGTAGTCAAGCTAGCTTTAGAAGTCAGGATACCAGACACAAGGGAGTATCTCTGTATAACAGGAAAAGCCCTCACAGTGATTCTGAGTCCACTCTCAAACATACCACTTTACCCCCAGCCAGCAGCACCAATGCCAGTAATCCTTGAAGACGTGGGCCTCCCCCATGACTCCCCTGGGGGGCACAGCCTCAGGGGGTATCCCCCCACCCCTTCCTTGACTCAACGTGCTATCAGATAGGGCCGCGTACCCTTTAGATGGGGTAACAGGAAAGTGAATAGGAATAGTGACTTGAAGGAAAGAGATTATAAAGAGCTTTTGGAATAGACGTCCCAACAGAGCAGAATAAAGAGGAATGAACTACAGCCAGTTCTCTGGCTCCTGATCTCTCCCTAGCTCTTCAGTGTCCTCAGGGAAGTCCGTGTGTCTGTGGTAAGATCTGCAGAGCATGGGTACTAGAGCTGCTCACGGGATCAACTGAAGGATACATCTGTGTGACATGACGTAAACTCTTAGCTGCTGCCCCAAAATCCTTTCTCTGATTCTTCTTTAGGAAAAGAATGCGAATTTTATTTGGGATGATAATGCTCCCTGCTAAAAATACCAAATTTCCCAACACCCTTTGCAGGCGAACGTGGCTAGAAATGTGACATGGGACTTCTGGAAAGGAGTTAGAGTTGTCTCAGCTGGGAGTTGGACCTTTTATATGTCTGCCCTACCTTCGTTCTGCTGGCTGGAATGCATACGTGATGGCTGGAAGTCCAGCAGTCATCTTGGACGGTGAGCCATCCTTGAGAAGGAAAGCCACGCACCAGGAAGCAGTACAGAAAGACTGAAGGGGCCACTTACCCTAATGACCTCGGAGCCGGGAAACAACCCTGGACTTCCTACCTCCACACTTCTTTCATGTGAAAAAGAAAAACACGTCCATCTTGCTTAGTCACTATTATTGCGGGTTTTGTTAGTAGCAGCTACATATAATCCCTAACTGTTTAAAAGTCGTCTACATTGTAAGAATCAAGAATTAGGTAATATTAGTAATATTATCCCATCAGCCAGAACAAATCTACTCCAGGAAGCTGAGTTGAGAGGTGCTAATGTAAACAAGAAAGATGCCTAGTCATTTTTAGGTATCATATTAGATTACTTCTCTGCACATACCTATTACAGTTAGATGATCTTTAAGATCTTTTCCAACAAAATTTATCTGGTTTGATGCTTTTGTCATTTGATTATGTAATATTTCAAAATTTAAATGATGAATAACAAGAAATTTGTGACACCATTCTTACCTTTTTAGCTTCCTCCCCCATCATTGCGTCCAATACTTCTGTTTCTTTCCTTCTGTTTTCCCGAAGAAGTCTGGCCACTTCCTGGTAACACTCGTTTCGCTGCAGATCATCACATCTTTGTTTATGTAAAGCTTGAATTCGCCAGTCGGCATTTAGACATGCTTGTTCAGCTTTTGCCAAATTTTCTTCAATTAACTAAGAAATATTTGCAAATTTCAGAAACAAGGTCAGACTATATATAAAATACAGTATATCTGTTCAATGCATCCAAGTGTCTAGGGTAGCTGTTTTTTAAAGATTTATTTATTTGAGAGAAAGAGAGAGTGCATGGCAGGGAGGGGCAGAGGGAGAATCTTAAGCAGACCCAGCGCTGAGCACAGAGCCCGAGGCAGGGCTTGATCTCATGACCCAGAGATCCCCACCTGAGCCGAAACCGAGAGTCGAACGCTTAACTGACTGAGCCACCCAGGCGCCCCTAGGGTGGCTGTTTATAACCTTGGTTGCATATTAGAATCACCTCACGGTGTTTAAAACAAACTGGTGTCCAGACCCAGCACAAACCAATTATATCAATCTCTAGGGTGGCAGGATATTGGAACTTTTTTTTTTTTTAAGATTTTATTTATTTTTTGACAGAGAGCAAGAGTCAAAAAGAGAGTCAAGCAGGGGGAGTGGGAGAGGGAGAAGCAGGCTTCCCGCTGAGCAGGAGCCCAATGCGGGGCTCAATCCCAGGACCCCGGGATCATGACCTGAGCTGAAGGCAGATGCTTAACCGACTGAGCCACCCAGGCGCCCCAAGGATATTGGAACTTTTAGAAAGGTGATTCTAATGCATACATAGTCAAGGTTGAGAATTTCTAGGCTAAGCATTAAACAATTTCCATCTTTTAACCTTTTGAAAAGGAGTCAGAAGAGCTCATTCTTACAGACTGGACTAAAGCCTATAAGGAAAAATTAATGGTAGGCTATTCTGGTGGGACCACCTAAGGGATTGTTGTTGAACAGAAGGTAGGGAAATCTTACACTATTCCTGGCTTTTGGACCAGGGCCAGGCCTCACCACAGACCCATTTAGCATTTTGCTAACTGGATAATAGAGAAAGTTCTTTCCTGAAGTTCTCAGATTCTATTGCAATTCACTTAAGCCAGCATTTCTGAAAGGGTACTCCACAGAAATTCTACAAAATAAGTTTGGGAAATTTTCTTAAAGAAAATATCCTCAAATGTGGCAGAAAAATACCCAACTTTAAACAGCACTTCCAACACTTACTTGCCACTCTCCACTTTACTGAGTAATAGTTAATTAATATTCTACAGAATATACTTTGGAAATGCTGGCTTATATACCAGGCAAAGACCTGATGTTTTGCAACTAATCTACTCAGGGACAATTTCTGAGACATAACACAGTAGGTTAGTATCTGTAATGTTACCATTTCCCTTTTATTTTCTCCTAAGTCTTAAAATTCTTAGAGTATAAAAGATACATGTATATGTCTGGCAGTGAAGTGAGTAACCTGTAAAAATAATGTGAGATTCTAGGAACTGTGATAACTGAAGCAAAGAAATGAATTAATGCAACTTTATAGAGTTTAATGCAACTTTATAGAGTTTAATCTTGAATTTCTTTTTTTGAAAGGATGACAGATGCGGGGGGGTGCAGGGCAGGGGAAAATAAATATATAAAAGAATGACAGACCTGGCCCCCTCTCTATATACACTAAATTTGCCGTATTTTTACCTCCTGAGTTTTTTGGTTCTGAGTTTGATCTGTTTCTATCAGTTTATGAAACATGTGTTCTTCAAGATCCACTTTTCGTCTAAAGGCATTTGCATCTTCTCTCATTTCTTTTGCAACAGCTTCCTGATTTCTAATAAGATTCTGTTAAAAAAATCAATTGTAAAAAAAAAAATCACAAATCTATATAATAATGCTAGAACACAAAATGACTTTTTTTTCTAGAATACTAGCACACAAATAAAAAATTGGCATTTGATTTTCAAGTAAAAAGCAAACAGCAGTGACATCACGGAAAATACAAGAAAGGACCCCTGAAAATTCTCTCATCCAAAAAAGCATTGAGAACACAGGCCGACCAACTTTTTCAGAACTCTGAAATTAACCAAAGGCTTGCAGCAATTTGGGGAGCATTTACTCATAAAAATGGCTGAGTCCTTAACAAATACAAACAAATTAAAAAAAAAAAATGGCTGAGTCTTGGTAAGAAGAGTAACCCTTAGGGCATTTTTAACTTGCACTATCCCTAGTCCCACCCCACCCCTAAACTCTGCATTAGCCTTGAAAACCAGTAGCCTGGCAGCCAATGGAGGGGGTAAAGTGGAGTTGGAGCTCCTTCAAACTCCGTTTAACCTATTTGGTGGTTCTGGAAGAACCCACTCCCAAGGTTGTCTTTATCCGTCCTGACTCAGAACTCACTCCTTTGAACAGCCTTTTCCCTGGGGACATTTGCTGAAAAACATCGGAGGAAACTGTTGAATATCTTGGCTGCCTGAAGCAGTGGATCACAGTGTAAACCACAAGTTAATCAAAAAGATTTACAGAAAAAAAGTGGAGAATCAGATGTCTGTAGGGGACTTTGAAAAGCTCTGATAGATTCCTGGGACCCTAAAAGTCCATGTGCATGTGTAAGGCTGTACACATACCAAGGGCTATGTGAACGCTCAGATCTGAGAAGGTCCTGGGCTCTCAAGTCTGGTGAACTGAGGTACTACACGGTCAGGAAGTGAAGTCTAAGATAGAGTTGTAAACTACGGAGCTAGGTGTTGAAGGCGTGCCCCAACATAGTGCCCACAGAGCTCACTGGCAAAGACTAGAAGTGTTCTGGTTCAAGGCAACTATGGAAATCTGTCTGGTCACTAACACTGAGTAAAGGCTTTAATTTAGTTCTATAAATTAATTTTTACAGAATTAATTCAGACAAGTGACTAAGTAAAGAGACAAGAAACCCCGAGGAGGGGGGAGAATCTGATTTTCAGAACTGCCACATTACAGTATTTAAAATATCTAGTTTTCAACAAAAAATTACATGAGATATTAAAAACCAAAAGAATAACTCCACGTACTCCGAATAGTTAACCACACGTTCTCCATTAACCACACGTTCTCCAAAGAAGTTATAAGAACGGCCAATAAATATATGAAAGCATCACTACATGGACTAGCATCATTAGTCATTAGAACAACGCAAATCAAAACCCCAAGATACCACTTCACACCCAGTAGTATGGCGACAATCAAAAGGACAGACAATAACGACTGTTCACAAGAATGTAGAGAAATTAGAACTCTACACTCCTAGGGACATATCTAAGAGAACTGAAAATATATGTTCAAACAAAAAGTCGTACATGAATGTTCACAGTAGTACTACTCATCCTAGCCAAAAAGTGGAAACAACACCAAATATCCACCAATTGATAAAAGGATAAACAAAATGTGGTCTTATCCACACAATGGAATATAATTCAGCCACAAAAAGGAAGTACTCACTCATGCCACTACATGAATAAACCTTGAAAACATTATGCTATGTGAAAGAAGCCAGTCACAAAAGATTATACATTGTATGATTTCATTTAAATGAAATGTCAGAATAGGCAAATCCATCGAGACAGTAAATAAGTGCTTGCCAGGGTCAAGGGACTGGGGAAGTGAGTGCTAAACGAGTACAGTGGTTGAAGGGAAGGATAGCACACAGTATTCATGAAAATTTAAGTTAAAAAAGCAAAATACCAATTGTATGTACCAAATAATCTCACTTATCCTTATTGATGATATTAGCAGTTATTTTCCAATTTAGGGATTTATTTCTACTTTTCTAATTATCTACTGGCAACATAATTACCTTCATAATGAAAAATAAAAATGTTTTCCAGTGTTATGTAGAGAAGATATATGTATGAAGAATTTTATTGCCACAAATTGTAAAGCACTTAAACATCCAACGACAGAAAAAAGTTTAAATAAGTTATGGTTCATCAGTATCTATTACAAATGACAACAAGATATGTAGTCATTTAGAAAAGGGATTTTATTAAGTAAAAAAGAAAAGCAGAATATAGAATCTTAGCTACTCCATAAAGAGGTAAAATGATGTATGTGTAGAGATTAGGGATTAGGAGGAAAACAGTGGAAATCTACAAACAGCAAAGAGGAAGGAAGACAAGGTGGTGGTTTAAAGAAGCAGACGGGGGAAAGAAGTTGTCCATCCATTCTGTAAAATGGTAGAGCATTTTAGGCCAAGGGGCAATGATGGGAAACTAGTATCTACCCAGCTCGTGCCAGTACCAGACACTGTAAGGGTGAAGGGTAACTTAGTAGCCGGAGTTATTCAAATCCTGCACATTCCGAAGGAAGGATTAGCCCTTGACCAGTTCTAAACCCCTGTAATCCCCTGCCTAAGAGTGTCTCTGTATGCCTGGGCCCTTGGGCTCTGCCAGATAGTTTGTGCTAATCACGTGGCTTATGGTAGGAGCTGTAGGACACACTGTATCAGCCTGACCTCTGCAGAGCAAGTAACTAGGGTCAGGCACGTGCACACTCCATGCCTATGTGAGTGACTCCCAGTAGAACCCTGGATACTAAGATTCGAGTTGAGTTTGCCTGTTGGCAATGCTCTATATGTGTTGTCATACATCTTTGCTGGCAAAATTAAGCGCTATCTGTATGACTCCACTGGGAGAGGACAAGGGGAAGCTTGTGCCTGGTTTCTCCGGGACTCTACCTTATGTGCCTTTTACCTTTGCTGAGGTGTTTTGTTGAGTAATCTCTACCCCCATCATGGGGCTCAAACTCATGACCCCAAGATCAAGAGTTGCATGCTCCACTGACTGAGCCAGCCAGGCGCCCCCTACCTTGGCTGAGTTTACTCTGTATCCTTTCAATGTAATAAACCATAACCGTGAGTATAACAGCTTTTCTGAGTTCTGTGAGTCCTTCTAGCAAATTGCTGAACCTGAGGGTAGTCTTGGGGAATCCTGTCACTGATATATAGATATTAATTCATTTAATCCTCACAGCAGTCTTGGCAGGGGTGGTCCTACGCCAAGGAGAATGTACATGTGCCTGAGAGAGAGACTGAGACAGAGGCCGAAATTGGACTTGGTGAAACAGGTTTCTAGGAGATGAAGGGGATGGAATCTGGGTCAGAGGTTAGTATGTGTTTGTTGGTTTATATTTAATTTTATTCTTTTGTTACAACAAATTTTATTCAGGGGTGCCTGGGTGGCTCAGTCGTTAAGCGTCTGCCTCCGGCTCAGGTCATGGTCCCAGGGTCCTGCGTTTGAGCCCCGTGTCAGGCTCTCTGCTCCGTGGGAAGCCTGCTTCTCCCTCTCCCACTCCCCCTGCTTGTGTTCCCTCTCTTGCTGTCTCTCTCTCTGTCAAATAAATAAATAAAATCTTAAAAAAAATTTTTTTTTATTCAAATTAGATACATATGGGTATTGAGCATATATTTCCAATAGGGGTCATCACAATACTGTCTGTTTTCTGGGATATAATTTGTTTACAAACAGACGCAGTTAATCAAACTAATGTAAGAGCTAAGTTTGGCAGATAAAGTATTAATCACTAAAACTGATGAAAATGGCAGGAGCTGCACATCTGAATCTAATGGACCAGATAAAGTTCATGATTTTATAAGTTAGTTTTGTTGAGTAGGCTTGGTCTTCTCTAACTCTAATAGTTTGCTTAATAAATACTTTCCTCAAAAGAGGGCAAAAATGATAACGATCCATAGAAAGAAACTCAGCATTACTTCTGGGGCATTCCTGCCCAAAGCGTGTTAAGTTGAATTGTATCATGAGGAAACAACAGACAAATGCCAACTGAGGGACACTCAACAAAATATCTGGCCAAATGCTTCAAAAATATCAACATTATAAAATATAAAGACAGACTCAGGAGTGGTGCCAACATAAAGGAGACTAAAGAGACATGACAACTGAGAAAATGGATTATCTGAGATTTTCTTTTGCTCTGAAGGACATTTGTACCACAACTGATAAAATCTGAATAAGGCTTATACAGTGGATAACAATCATTTGTTCATTTCCTGATTTTGATCATTGTTCTGTGGTCATGTGATGATTCCTTGGTTTTAGGAAATATACACTGAAGCTAAATTTAGGGGGAAAGGGGCATCAGGTTTGCAATTTTCTCTTAAAAAGTTCAGAAAAAAAATTTATCTACGTGTGTACAAGTACATACAGAGAAAGAGAAGGATAATGCCAATTTAGCAACATGTTAATATTTGAGTATCTGAGAAAAACATATTTGGAAATTCTTAGTATTTTTCTTGCAAATTTTATCTTAATTCTGAAATCATGCCCTGCTGGTGCCACCACCCACCTCCCCCAAAGAAAAGACAGTAAAAAGTAAATTTAGGTTTGGTCCAAATGAATTGAATCTAATTCAAAATCATAGGAGACTTAGTCAGGGTGTAAATCCCTGCCTCAGTTCTAGAAGTAGTTCAGTGTGGAACTTTAAAAAGTGTTGTAGATACGAATGGATGCCGTATGTTTTAAATCTTATTTAATGTGAATAACAATCACATGTTACCTGTTACATATTTGCAGTTATCACTTTCAAATTATCAATTTCAAAGTCTCACTTTAAAAGAGGCTGAAGGAAGTGAAAACTTATGGTTTCAACATTAAATAAATGAATAACAAAATGCTTTTCCCAAATAATAAATATTTATATTAACAAAATTCCTTTTTCCAGTGTCGTGGAAACTAAATTATATATTCTAAGAAGATACTTGATAATTTATTTCCAGGAGATTCAAATTTAAAGTACTTTACAGCTCTTGTCTGATTTACCTGACTTACAAAGACCCTTATGAAGTACTGGGTCAATTTTGTAGTCACTATCACACAGATACAGGAAAACTTAGTAAGTTGGTAGAAAATTGTGAGGCAAAATCTGGGACTTACATCTGGTACCTCAGACACTAGACTAAGTCGCTAAGAGAAACATGAATTAAAGAATTACAACAAACTGTACACTCAGACATTCTGGCTACCTTACAATCCTGGATGACACTATATTCTGTTTAAAAAAAATTAAATAAAATGAATATTACAAAATCATGAATAAATACAATCTAAAAAGAGTTCGTATACGCCCTGCTTCTCTCATGGTGGAAACAGATGATTTATACCTTCTCATAATGTCTTTTTTGCGATTCGAGTTCCAGATGTCTCATTTCTAGGTCTTTCGCTGTAGTAGCAATTTCTCGATCTCTCATGTGTAGCTATGGCCAAACAACAAAGTGTGAACACCAGAAAGAATTTACAAGATAATTTCTGTTTAACAGATTTAGTAATCTTGTAATCCAAACAACCCACTAAGAGTATTTTAAATAAGAAGTATTGGGTTTTGATACCAGAGTAACTGATAGTATATTAACATTCACTGTAGAATATAGGAATAATGCCTGAGTTAAAGTTAAAGCTTAATTTTCTAAAAAGGAAAGTACAATTACCATATGCTCATCTACTCAGGCTGCGAGAACAGACGGCAGTTCTTACCACGCTGTATCAGCCAATATTATGAGTTAGAAAAACTTGAGCAATTTAAATTTGCAGTGGTTAAAAATATAGAATGTTTAATCTTATTAAATATAACTATATTTAATGTTCTTTTTGATTAAATGGCTATACTTAAATTTTTTTTTTAAAGATTTATTTTTTTAGAGAGAGAGAATGAGGGTGAAGGGCGGAGGGAGAGAGAAAATCTCAAGCAGATGCCCCACTGAGCACAGAGCCTGACATGGGGCTGGATCTCACGATCCTGAGATCATGACCCAGCCAAAATCAAGAGTCTGTCACCCAACCAACCGAGTCACCCAGGCACCCCTATAGGACTATACTTTTATAAATTCAGTTTGGCAACTAGTAACTCCAAGTTCAAATGTGCTCTGCTTGGACTTAGCTAATTTAAAGTTCACCGTTCATCAGACTTTGATTACTTGGAAACTTTTTACTCCTATACACTAGAGGGTTTGAATAAGGCCCTCTTTAGGTAGATAGAGAATCTTAGGAGCAGTCTTAAATAAATACTTGGCTGCCTAAAGTCTCCCATTTTTTGAGGAGTGATATGTGTTTCAGAAACAAAACAACCTATAACCCCATCTAAGCCCATTCATTTATTCAGTAAACATTTAATGATTGTATTATTATTTGCATCCGTAAGTATTAGACATTGTAAAGATAAAAGATACATGATCAAATATCTATCACTGGAGAAACAAACAGTAAAAATGAAAATACAGTGGGGTGTACAAGAGGGACAAACATCTGAGAAGTAAATAAACCACTGACTGGCAACCAGTTTCACTTAAGGAGGTTACTGGGAAGGCAGCTAGCTCAAAGTGGGGATGTTCGAGTTCATGAAGTAAGAGCAGTAAAAATGCCAACAGGCAGAGGAGAGGTTTGGCATAATTAATCATGCTTTTCAGGAATTTCAATTAGAGAAGCTCTTTTGCTTATGAATTTTTAGACAGACAAATAGCTTAGTGCCCGAGCAAACCCAGATCAACTTTGCTGACGCTAATGGATGTGCAATCACCCATGCGTGTCACTGTGGACTCAAGTCTTCCTGCTGGTGCCTGCGCTGTGAGGAGAAAAGCTCTGGCAGTTTAGCAGGTCAGAGCGCACTATCAGAATAGGGAGATGAAGGACAGGAGACTGGAAGGGTAAGCAGAGGCCAGATCATGCAAACTGAAAGGACTTTACAGGATTCTTTGAAAAAAATTGCCTTCACTATCTCAAAGAGTTTGGAATAAAGAGGTCAGAGTTCTAAGCCCGTACTACTTTTGGAGAAGAACATACGCTCTTCTAGAATAATGAATTATCAACCTCATTTACTCAGTGAGATCATGAAAAGGAATCACAGCTTTCAAAAACCAATTTAAAATTAATTGGCTTCAAGCAAAACAAAAAGTATTATGCTATAAAAGAGATGACAGATTTCGAATACAGACAAATTCAAAATACTTTCAAAGATTGAAAAAAATACTTAGTATTTTACCAAAACTAGGTTTAAAACTCCCTAAATTAAATAAATTAAATAAATTCAATGCAATCCTAATAAACATGCCAGCAGGATGGGGTGAGGTAGGGATTCAGAGTGATACGATTCTCAAAGTGTATAAGAAGAGACTGCAGAGAACCCTGAAAAGGCAGACTAATAGTGGGAATGAGGCCCACTAGTTAGAAAAAGATTATGAAGCTGTTGTTCAGGGTGGTGCTGGCTTAGGAGCAGACAGAGCAATGGAGGAGATAAGATATATAAGGGAATTTAACACTGAATAAACCATCAGTTGGCAAATGACTTTGTTAATCAACAAATGGGTAGGACTGTGTTCCAATAAAGCTGTATTTATGGATACTGAAATATGAATTTCATGTTTTTTAAAATGTCACATAATATTCATGTCATGAAATTATTGTTAGAATTCTTTTAACCATTTAAAAAGTCAAAGCCAGGGGTGCCTGGGTACCTCAGTTGGTTAGGTGACCAACTCGTGATTTTGGCTCAGGTCATGATCTCATGGGTCATGGGACTGAGCCCCGTGTGCGGCTCCGTGCTCAGTGGGGAGTCTGCTTGAGATTCTCTCCCTCTGCCCCTACCCCCACTCACGCTTGCTCTCTCTTTAAAATAAATAAACCTGAAAAAAAAAGTGATCAGTCCAAATTGAGGTGTACTGTAAGTATAAACTGACTGCTAGATTGCAAGATTTAGTATAAGCAAAAAGTAAAACATCTCATAATGTCTTTATACTAATTACATATTAAAAAAATTGGAAAATACATTGAGTCAAACAAAATGCTATTAAAATGATTTCCTCTGTTTCTTACCTTTTTTTTTTCTTATTTTTTTACATGTGGCTGCTATAAAACAAAATTGCCTATGTGGCTCACATCATATTTCTACTGTCCCAAATGGCACAAACAGCCCATGTAAATTGAAAAGAAAAAACTTGACGGAAAATGGACAAATATGGATATACAATTTATAGTTCTTCTACAAATGGAAGATAACTGGAGAGATATTTAACCTCACTAGCAAGAAAAAAAAGATAAAATACACAACTTCCACCTATGAGATTGGCAAATATTAAGACTGATGTACTCCAAATTGACTAGGGTATAAGCACTCTTCTATATACACTTAAAATAACTTAGGTAGGTTCATTTTTGGAGAATAATTTGGTAGGTCTTGGAATTTACTCAACAAAACTATGTGTGCAAGTACTCAAAGATTTGTACTGAGAATGTATAACCTAGCACCATCTTGTACAGCAAAGCACTGCAAACAACCTCAATGTCCAACAAACAGCAAAGGATTAAGTAAATAAACTATAACATAGCCACACAATGGAATACTATGCAGCCGTAAAAAAGGAAAAAGCTCTATCATTTTTTCAGTTTATTTTGGGGACGAAATGACAGAAGAGTAGGGAAGGTCCATTTTTGACTCCCCGTATTTTATAATGGAAATTTTCTTATACTGGCCAGGTGCAAATTTTTATATTAAAAAAGGGCATTTCCCTTATTTCACAGTTAATGGTTCATTGATATTTCTATTTTTAGAGAAACAGTCACCAAGGACACTGGTCAAATTGACTAATTTTCTTGGCATTTCTAAATTTTTTTTGCTATTAGTGAAATTCGAAAGAGAAGAGGAAAAGCTGAAGGAAAAGGAAAAGTAAAGAGGCTATTTAGTATTCCCTGTGAATCCTAGCGAGGACATTTAACTTGAAGATAGGAGAGTAAATGGAGTAAATGGAGATCCTGTGTGAGCACTAAGATACGGATCATGAACCTTTCTCTCGATTTCATCGTCCAGTCTTCTTAGTTCCATTTCACGCTGATCTTGCTGCAGCTTCAGAAACCGCCTTCGTGTAGCATCTTGTAAGTGCATTTCCTTGACTTTCAGCTCTCTTTTCACAGAAGCTAGTCTTAAATACAAAATACATTAAGAGGAACACATAAACACATTTCCCAATATAGACTGAAGTGGAAAAATCGTATGTTTCACAACAATGAAAGGCCTGCCACTGACTTTGGCGCACCTGCCCCAGTCCCCTGGTGCTACTTTGGCATCCCGCACACGGAGAAATGATGCCCGTGGCTGCCTTCGTGGAAAGGACAAGTGTCCAAACGCAACTCGCTATGCTTTTCGTATTTAAAAGTTCCTAACAGGTCTACTCAGATCACCTTGGTGCAATCAATATCCTTTATCTGAAGGAAGAATGCCACAAAGTGCTCTGGGGTCACCAAAGATTATGTATGCTTTCTCTGCCAGAATTTTAGTACAAGGTTAATGCTCAGTTCAGTAACTGTGTTTAACCCACACTAGAAATCAGTTTCGTAAAATCCCAACAAGGAGTAAAACTCAGTAAACACTTACAGAAGTGAGGTTCTCCAACAATTAGGCTTAGTCTCAGTGCTCATCCCATAATCTTAATTAATTGAAACATTTTGCTTTATTAATATACTTTTGAATAAGCATTTAATACTTCTTCCCCTATCCTCCAAAGTATGAGATGCATAATGAGATAATCATTTTATGTTCCAATTTTCAAGTCATACAGATATGTTTAAAACACAATTTTAAAAATTCTGCTCCCCTGGAGGTGATTTATCCAGCACTGTGTTACAAAGCATTTTTGCCTATTGTACAATGATGTTTCCAATAATGTCCTCCAGGGCACATTAGACTTGTGTTACTTTTGAATAATCAGTGCAGTCAGAATTCCATTTCATATGCCAATTTTTTGAAATGTGGTAGATGCAGATTTGTTATTAGCTTAAATTTTTGCTTAATGGAAATGCCACAGCTGGGTAATGTTACGTATATAGAAAAAAAAGAAGAAAATAAAAATTATTCAACTAACTCACAAATCCAGATTTTCTCAAAGTGGTAACACATACCTCTGTCTTTGCTGTATCATCTTTTCCTCCTCCTGTAAGAGCAATTCTCTCCTCGTTTCTTCGGCTTTACGAAGTAGTTCTTGTTTTTGGTACCAAGCTTCGTCTTCAACTCTCTGCTGGTCTACCTCAGCTTGCATATCTTCAACCATCTGCCTTAAGTAGGGAATACTTACTATTATATCCAGACACGGACAAGCCCCCAGTACACACTTGTGATTATGCAAGGGTAAATTGCTATTTGCCTGTCAGACCTTGAACTACTGCCTTTCACTTTCATATTTATCTCATCCAAGTGGTAGAAAGCACCGAAAAGGATGCCCTATGTAAGTCTCACCAAGAAATGCAAACAAAGAAAAAAATTCAAACAAAGAAAACTGAGTAATTTAAGTCCAACCAAAACACAAGATGTATACCTGATTAACATGTAATTGTTTTACTTCTATATGCAAGAATTAAATATTTTTAAAGATATTCCCAGCCTTCAAACTCTGATTTTACACAAATACTTAATAATTTACATGTGTTTTTCATAAAAAATTCTGTCTGTATTTATGACAGATTTTGCTACTATCACACAAAGAACAACTATTCCATGATTACCTCTCCCTCAGGTAGTCCAATTCATCAATCCTTATTCTTTCTCGCTCCTGTGTCTGATAGTCCACAATAAACTTTGGATATTGGTTAAATACTGGATATTGCCCTTTTGTCAAGGCCACAAAGACATGAAGCGTGCTGTTGGGATGAATATCAGTAGGAGTGGTATCCATGAGATGATAGACTTCTCTAATGACAACGCTTATATCCAGGTTATTCCGATGATGAAAAAAATACTGTAAGAAAACTTTGTGTTGAAATTGTGATTTATCTAATAAAGCAGTTACGAGGGAGAAAATAAGAGTTTAAAAATTGTGAATTTATCTTTTCTTCCTTTCTTTTTTTTCTTCCTTCCTTCTCTTCCTCCCTTCCTTCCTCCGTCCCTTCCGTCCTTCCTTCCCCCCACCCTCCCTCTCTCTCTCTTTCCTTTCTTGGCAAATTCACTGAAACTTTTCTTAACCCACGTTTTAAAATGAAGAGTCAATTTCATATTTTCAAAGTCTAATAAGATTTCAAAACCAAACTTCTGAAATAATACTTCTTAAATTTTAACTCCAACAGAAGGCCTCCTTTATATTAGAAGAAGAACACTTCAACCAACAATGGAGCAAACTCTTCTGCTTGGATTTTTTCCTTGCAAAATCCAAAATAAATAAATTTGAAAATAAATTAGCTTGATTCGTTAAAAATATCTGAAATGTTTCCACACTATCTTGTTCTGCTGGCAGGTCCAAATTCTAAAATATATATAGATATGTATCTTGTGAACAGTAAGTAAAAATAAAGTTTGACAGGGGTGCTTGGGTGGCTTAGTCGGTTAAGCGTCCGACTCTTGATTTCAGCTCAGGTCATGATCTCGGGGTCGTGAGATTGAGCCCCTCGTTAGGCTCCGTGCTCAGTGGGGAGTCTGCTTGAGATTCCTTTTCTCCATCTCCCTCTGCCCCTCCCCACCCGCTCTCTCTCTCAAATAAATAAATGTTTAAAAAAAGAAAAACTAAAAACGTTTAAAAAAATAAAGTTTGACAGGAACCACTAAATAAGTAACAAACCCAATTCATCCTGTTTACCAAAAGAATCTCTCCTTTCATTTTTTTTTATTTTTTTAAGATTGTATTTATTTATTTGAGAGACAGAGAGAGAGAACACATACGAGCGGGGCAAATGGCAGAGGGAGAGTGACAAGCAGACTCCCCGCTGAGTGCGAAGCCTGACTTGGGGCCCCATCCCAGGACCTTGAGATCATGACCTTAACCAATTGAGTCAGACACTTAACCAATTGACCCTCTCCTTTTAAAAACCTCCTCTAATGCTTTCAAGTAACCTTCCTGCCATATCTCAAAATTCTCAGAGTAACCATTTCATATGTGTAATAAGCATCCAGATTGTCACAGACTGGATGGATCACTGATAAAACCACCCAAGGAATTACCAAGGACTCAACTGGTAAACATCCTTTACATAGGGAACAAGCGCTAAGCTCCAGTATTACTGTGTTTCTTTTCTGAAGCTACGACTTGAAGACAAATAGTGTGCTGTGATTATCTGTTGGATTCGCGACCAACAATGTCAGAGTAAGGGTGTGATTGGTATACCTTGCTCTCCACTCCATTACTCCCATCTGGCACTAGTACCTGACATGCAACAGGTACTCAATAAATGTATCCGTTCTTCAATGGGAATAAATGAGACTTGAGAACCGCGACTTAAGAACAAGGATATTTACCTCAAAATCATCTTTAAGACTGCAGTTGAGCAAAGGAGCTCTAGAGCATATGTTGTAGGCTACCACAGTCATCAGGAGGAATGAAGGATGGTTGGAAAAGACATTATCAAACAATTTTAGCCACTCCTCTCTTGTTAGTACTTCTGAAAAAACAGTTTCAAGAAGAGGCCATGCATACAGCTAAAATAAATAAGGAAAAACTTATTAGTTTTCTATGGAAAAGTCATTAAGTCCTTGCTAATACTCTCTTACATTTGAGGTAGCTGTTAAAACCATTATATTCAAAACAATTCTGAAAAGAACTGCCTTAATATGGACCCTTCTTTATAGACTTTTGGGAAAGCAGTTTAATGAAGAAAAAGAATGGAATACTGTTAAAAATACAAAGGATAGTATGTTCTTTTATTATACTCTTCCAAGAAAATTCTGTCTTATTTAATACCAGAACCAGTGTTAGCTTCCAAGATTAGTCATGTTATCCTAAAAACCTCACACTTCTTACCTGGGAAGTTATGTCATGATCTATGAAGTGCTGCAGCAGGTCTTTGTCGTGGAATGCCAAAACATTTTCTATCATACTGAGAATATTGATGGGAGGGTTAGGGAAATATTCAAACCAGTGTTGACACCAATTGACTATGAAGAAAAAAATTGAAAATCTATCTTTACCATTCTATATTATCAAGGGATTCTGCAATTCTTACATGAATCCACTCTATGTCCTCAATATGCCCATTAATAAAGAAAACATGACAACTCTTTAAGTTCTAGAACCATCGATTTTAAAGTTGCATCATGTTAACATTGTATTTTAGGTTTATAGAATTGCCCAATTTCTTCAACTGAGAGCAGTCAATGAGGAAGTGTCCATTAAAACAAACAGAACTTCCCAAAGTATTCCTGATCTTCCTGTAGGGCGCTCTGCTTCCTGCTTCTCCTGGTTAACAAAATGACCCTTCTACAAAAAGATTCCTTCTTAAGTCTTGACAATCTCCTAAAATCTACTCAAATTCATACCTAATCAAAATTAGAAAAGTTTACAAGAAATGTTCAAAATTACTAATTTTTTTTGAGAGAGCGTGAGGGGGGGTGGGCAGAGGGAGAGAGAGAATCTTAAGCAGACTCCACGCCCAAGGTGGAGCCTAACACCATGATCCTGAGATCATGACCTGAGCCGAACCCAAGAGTTGGACGCTTAACCAACTGAGCCACCCAGGCGCCCCCAAGATTATATTCTTACACATCAATAGCAACACATAAAAACAAATGGGCATGTATCATACCCCTATCCATTAAATGTTATAATAGCAGAATAAACACGTCCCTATTACTAGGACAAGAGTGACTGTTCTACGGCCGTGATAACAACCACCAGAACTGGTTTTAAATCTAAGCCATCGATGACAACTTATTCAGTAAACCTGACTTTGAAAACCAACCAGTGACGGAGGGATTCTCTGAAAGTCAGCCAGTGGAAAGCAGAATCTATTCTGCTCAAGATGCTTCTACAGCTCACGTTAACTCACTGAGTAACCACTACGACCCCCAAAACATTCTCCTAAAAACGCTGGTAAGATCAGTTAGTTTCACTCAATGGACTACGTCTAATCACCACAGCCCTCCTTAATTATTAAATTCGGATTTTTATTTTAAACACTGAATTGTGGTTCCATCCTTTGACAATAAGATCTCCTTTCTCATATTAGCAAAAGGAGGCTTAGATCGGCAGAATTTTGGATTATATCTGGTTATAAAGGGCCTACTAATTCCAGAAGTCAATTATTTATTAGTAAGTAAATGTGAGTTAATAATTGAGGCATAAATAAACTCTTGCAAAAACTAAGCTTTGAAAGAAATTATTTCAGCTTCTTTAACTGCTGCTCTTAACTTTAAAAGAAAAACCCAGTTCAGCAACACATGCTAAGTGTCTATCATGTCTCAGATACTGCTAGTCCTAGGAATTTTAAAACACCACACACACACACACACATAGCTCAGATTTTTATAACTAATCTTCATCAAGAGAACACAGTTCTCAGTTAGGCATGAGGGAAACCCTGCTTTATATAGTGTTTGCCTTCTCTTCTTCTGTTCTGCATGGTGTCACCACAACAGAAGTATGGGTAGAGGACCCAGAGACAGAACTCACCGGAGAAGAGGATAAAGAGAAGTAACTGTGGAGATCCTTGGCTAAACCGGAAGAACTCCCTCTTGGTCATAAAAGAGACTGTAAACAGTGCTTAAAGATGACTTTTATAAACATATCCCAAAGGACTGTATTCCTTTTCCCCAGGTCCCAACTAGACTGTAAACCTAAAAAGCCAGAACAACGGTGTATCGCAAGCAATGCTAACATTTAGTTGGAGCTCAGAAAATGTTTCTTGAATAAAACTAGTTTGAGACCCTTGACAGAGGGGAGACCCTTCACAGCTACTCATGCTGACCATGATGGATCTTTTAGATTTAAATTCCAGGCTTAGAAGAGAAAATCAATTCCTCAGCACATAATCATACTCCAGCGATATAACAAGATTTTACTGGAAATAAAAAATAGTTTTGCATGCTTACCTACATATAAACAGCTTTTCTTAGGGTAAAATATCATTTGCCATTTTAACCATTTTTAAGTATGCAATTCAGTGTCAATAACTATATGCACAATGTTGTGCAACCATCACTATTTGCAAAATCCTTCCCCAGACAGAAACTCTGTACCCATTCAGGACTAACCTCCCATTCCCACCTCCTCCAACTCCTGGTAACCTCTAATCTACTTTCTGTGTCCATAAATTTGCCTATTTGAAATATTTCATATAAATTTGTCCTTTTGTGCCTAGCTTTCAGGGTCTATTCCTTTATGTGGTTAAATCATATTCCATCGTATACCTATATATACTATATACATAGTTGATCCATTCATCTGTTAGCAATGATGATAACATGATGATGACGATACTTGGGCCGTTTCCACCTTTTGGCTATTGGGAATAACGCTACCATGGATAGTCACATACAAGCATCTGTTTGAATCTCTGTTTTCAATTCTTTTGGTAATCCCTAAGAGTGCAATTGCAGGATTATATGATAATTTTATGTTTAACTTTTTGAGGAACTGCCAATTTTCCACAGTGAACACCATTTTACATTTCCAGCAATGTATGAAGGCTAGAATTTTTCCACATTCTTGCCAACACCTATTTTTTTCCTGTTTTTAAATTATAGACATCCTAGAAGATATAAAGTGGTATCTCAGTGTGGTTTTGATTTGCATTTCCCTAATAACTAATGATCCAGAGTATCTTTTCATGTACTCATCAGCCATTTGTGTATCTTCTTTGGAGAAAAGTCTAATCAAGGCCTTTGCCCATATAAAAATTGGATTATTTGTCGTTTTGTTGTTGAGTTGTTTCTTTTCCTTTTAAAACTCCGAGTGTTATTGCCAGGGTAAATTAGTATAACCCCTTTTTTTTTTTTTAAGATTTTATTCATTTGAGACACAGAGATACAGAGAGAGAGAGAGAAAGCATGAGCAGGGAGAGAGGCAGAGGGAGAGGGAAAAGCAGGCTCCTCCCTGAGCCAGGAGCCCGATGTGGGGCTCGATCCCAGGATCCTGGGATCATGACCTGAGCCGAAGGCAGACGCTTAACCATCTGAGCCACCCAGGCGTCCCTAGTATAACTCTTTTAAGGAATCAATTAGAATATTCATATTTTATGACCTAACAATACCAATTCTAGGAATTGACCAAGAGAAAATATTATACATATTTATATGTGAAGATAGTTGTAACACTGTTTCTTTAGGTAAAAGTTAGAAATAACCTAAATGTCCAACAACAGATTAAACTAGTACATTCACATTATAGAATATTAGAGTCATAAGGGGGAAAAAAAGAATATTAGTCAACGAAATATTTTTTTTTTTTTAAAGATTTTATTTATTTATTCATGAGAGATAGAGAGAGAGAGGCAGAGGCAGAGGGAGAAGCAGGCTCCCCGCGGAGCAGGGAGCCCGATGCGGGACTCGATCCCGGGA